AAGATGGTACTTTCAGTTAGTTTTGTTCACCATAAAAACAAATGTTGAGTAGATGGCTGTTTTTTCAATTTCTGAGTATTCTACAGTATTCATTGTATGTTTATGAACTCTTATATTTTACTTATTCTTTGGCAATTATCAGGATGGATTTGTTTCTTCAGAAAATGTTGCATCAGTTTACACAGTTGGTAAAGGAACACTATTCTAAATTACTAATATTTTGTTTTTATAGACTGTTTGCTGTTTTGTGGGTTTTGTGCTTGTCAGGAATCTTGAAGGTAAGTTGTTTTTAAAATAGTAACTTGAAATATAATTCTGGCCATGTCAATATAAATAATCTCGAAAAGCTGTAAGAGGTACTCTTATGATAGGACACTTAGTTATAATTATCTGGAATATTTGTATATAGAATGATTAAAAAATTCTTAAAAAAATCAAGGTCTTATGTTAATATTATCGATTAAAAGAAAGATGAACATATGACTTAAATTACAGAGAAAGAGGCCCTCCCTTGGAATTGCTAACCTCCCAGTGGCACATATAATTCTGAAAAAGCAATATTTTTTAAAAATAATTTATATTTGGAATGCTACTGTTCGAAGTTGTGGGTAATTTAATAGAAAGGAGGATATCCATTGATTCATCCATTCATCCTTTCATCCAATAGAAATGAGGATGGATCTGCCTTGCCCTTTTCTAATTTTAACATTTGCATTCCAAGTTGTAAAGCATTAAATATGTATATAGCATATGTAACTCAAGAGCAAGTAACTTAAGTATGCTTAATACGGTTCTTAAATATAAACTGATTAATTTCTTGCCTATAGTTATTTTTCTATAGTCAAACAATGGAGTTGGTCTTGGCTGCTGTGGGAGCCCTGCTTTTCTGTGGATTCATCATCTATGACACACACTCATTGATGCATAGGCTGTCACCTGAAGAGTATGTATTAGCTGCCATCAGCCTCTACTTGGATGTCATCAACCTATTCCTGCACCTGTTGCGCTTTTTGGAAGCAGTTAATAAAAAGTGATTAAAAGCAGTATATGAAAACTGATTCATTAAGTAATAAAGTTTGAGATTATAATTAACTATTAAATACTTTTGTGACTTTCTTCGTATGGTATGTACTTCTGAGCTATTATATAGTATACTAGTAATATCAGTATTACTATTGTATAAAAGTGATTATAATAATAATTCTGATTATATGTAATATATATAATATTAAATATGTGATATAATTACTAGATTATATACTAATAATATAAATCTTACTATTCTTTATGGTATCTCATTTCTAAGTCCTTGATTTAGAATCTCAGGTAGGAGATATCAAAATTCTGTTTTTCAGTTTTTTCAATCCTAAATTTGCCATATGTAGATTGTTCATCTGCAATTCAAAAATAATTTCATGAGTAGATTAGACTGTCAGTTTATCTGTGTCTAGTGATTTTATCTAAATTTTTCCTTAATGTTAGATTTGATTTTGATTTCAAAGTACTTGTGTCCTTACCATTATAAAGTATAAATTTCCTTCTACTAGAAGATTTTGATCTTATTATTTAGAAAGGAAAAAGTATAAAAGGTAAATTCCGTCGAATTATTCAGCATTACATTAAAATGTTAATGACATTTCATTATACAGTGATGAATTAAAACTGAGATGTCTTCTTGAAAGTCAGGTATTTTGACATAAAACATGACATTATTAGTTTTTTTTAAGTACAGATTCCATATAAAAATTATAGTGGCCAAGCAAACTTTTGCAAATGCCTTCACTGTATTAGTTTGCTAGGGTGCCATAACAAAGTACCACAGACTGGGTGGCTTAAACAGAAATTTATTTCCTCACAGTTCTGGAGGCTAGAAGTCAGATCATAGTATGGTTTCTTCTGAGATCGCTCTCTTGGCTGGTAGATGGTCATCTTCTCCCCCTGTTTTTACATGGTTTTCTCTCTGTACTTGTCCGTGTCCAAATTTCCTCTTCTTACAAGGACACAAGTCATATTGGATTAGGGCCTGCTTACCCTAATGACCTCATTTTACCTTAATTACCTCTGTAAACACCCTGTCTCCAAATATGGTCACATTCTGAGATACTAGGGCTTAGGACCTTGTATTAGTCTGAATGTTTGTTGTCTCCCACCCCCATTCCCAGTTCACATATTGAAACTTAATGACCAGTGTGTTAGTATGAGGACGTGGGGCTTCTGGGTCATGCTTAGGTCATGAGGATGGAGCTTTCATGAATGGGATTAGTGCTCTTACAAAAGTGACCCCACAGAGATCCCTCACCCCTTCTGTCACGTGAGGTAACAGTAAAAAACACAACCTTCAAACCAGGAAAAGGGCTTTTAGACACTGAGTCTGCCAGCACCTTGATCTTGGACTTCCTAACCTCCAGAACTGTGAGAAATAAATTTCTGTTGTTTATAACTACCCAGACTCTAGTATTTTGTTATGGCAGCCGAAATAGACTAAGACAGACTTCATCATATGAATCTCGGGGGGCACAACTCAGCCCATAACACCCACTAAGCATCATTTCCTAGCTATTAAGTTGAAATAAATTAATAATATAGATTTAGCCTTTGGTGAGTTTTAGATGTAAATTTGACTCCATCCTTATCAATTAATTGTTGAATACTCAGTTGCATGATGCTCAGCTAGTTTAACATAGTATAGTGGGTGAGAGCATTTAAATTGGAATCCTTGCTGTGCAACCAACTGATGATGTGACTTTTGGCAAGTTATTTATCCTTTCTTAGGTCTTTTGCCTCATCTTTATAATAGGAATCGTAATACCTACCTTATTGGACTATTATAAGGATTAAATGAGATGGATATGTCATCTAAACTAAGTGCTTAATGTCGCTACTATTAATTCTTATTGGCAGTCCAAAGGCAGAAGGCGCTGAATTGTGACTAGAGATAATAAGCAAAAACAGATGTGACATTTAAAAAATGTAGAACAATGCCATTCTTTTCAGTAAATTTTTTTTGCTTTGGAAAATAGTTTTTAAATAAAAATAATGTAGACATGTAATTCATTTATCTTTTTTAAAGGACAAATAAAATTTTAAAAATTGTTTTAATTTCTGATATGACAAATGTAATTTCTAAGATTGTAAAGAGATCACAAGACCAAGAAGTTTGAAAACCACTGATGCAGACTATTATATTTTATCAATGAACCATAATTATTCATACTTTTTCCTGTCGAAGAATTTTATATGGCTCCTTTTTTTTTACTGGCAAAATCAGTGCTGCTCTGTTTGTCCTGTATGTGTCCCAGTGTGCATAGATAGGAGTTTGCCTAGATAGGGGAATATACCTAGAAGCAGAATTGCTGGATAAAAGGGTACCTACAACTTCCAATTTCTTATAACAAGTAAAGGTGAAAATATGCGGACTCCAGAAATATATTAAAAAGTGGAATTAGCAGGACTCAGAGCGATCGGCAACTCCATATGCAAGGTACAAAGTATAGCCAGAGGTAGGAGGAAAACAGAAAGAGCAGTATCTGAGAACTGTTTTTACGGAATGTAATTTTGGGAAAGGTGCAGTGGGCTCTGTCTGCCTGCGTACATTTTTTTTTTTTTCTGCAGGCCTCCTCGCACCAGGCTTTGATCCACTTGATGCACTTTGGGGGATTAGTGGTGGCAGCAGCCAGCTGTGGGCCTTGGAACAGCTGGAAATTTTGCTTGTTCATCTTTGTAGAGCTTTGCCTTGAAGTCCTCACCCCCTAGAACCTGGACAGCATGGGGTCACCATCTGAATCCCAGAAGCCTTTGTAGTCCTCACTGAGTGATTATTCAGGTTGGGCGTTCCATGGGAGAGGCCTGACTGCAGAGGCCCTACTGGCTGGTGCTTGTTGTGTAGGATGCCTTTAAGGTGGGAAACCAGTGCACTTCTAGTCAGGTATTCAGTGCTACCCACTGTGCCTCCTGTCCCAGGGGCTTCTTTCAGCTTGCTGAGGGAGCTGAAGCAATGTTCCGTGTGACTTTTAAGCCTCGTCCCTCCATCAGGGGCTAAAGTTTCCTGAAGGCGGTAGTTTAGTTTCAGTCGTCTTTGTATACCCAACATAGAGCCTATCACAGAGTGCAAGAAAGACCAAGAAAGAATTCTTGAGACATCTTTGGTGCAAAATCGTGGTTTTATTAAAGCACGGGGCCAGGACCTGTGGGCAGAAAGAGCTGCTGCACCGGGGTCTTGAGGAGTGATTATATACTCGGGAGTTGTGGTTAGTAAGGAAAAAGGAGGTTCCTTTTTTTTTTTTTTTAAGGGAGGTTTCAAAAGAACTTTGATATGCTAAAGAGGATGGACCTCTAAGATACCTATAAGATACCAGAAGTCTTGCCATTGTCAAGTTAAGGTTCTTTTCCACTCTAGCAAGGTATTAACATTAAGACGGGAGATTCCTGGAAGAATATCACACATGTCCCACCCAGGAGTTGGGGGTGGGAGGAGGTTGCAGGGTGTCAGCTTATGCTTTGTCCTCAGCTTGCCTTCTGCTTATCAGTTTTGACAAATGGGTACATTCATGAGATCATCATTTCCCATTTTCAGATGGGAAAATTTAAGGGCTTCAAAGTAAAAATGATTTCAGTTCCGATTCTCCAAGAACACGTGATTTTGGATGATTCAGTCTAAGGAAATCCATGAGTACCGTGTGAACCGTGATGCAGGACCTGAGATGTAAAGGTCAGCTCTGAGCTCATTACTTGGCAGGCAGTCACCCGGCGAGGATCGCTCTTGGGGTGAGTGTCGGAGCTAACCGGCTCACGCACAACCCACCCGCTCCCCAGTTGCTGTTTTCCGCATTGTCCAAATCCCCCTTGGAAACCCATAGGGGTGGAGTCAAGCTCCAAAGTCACACTTCCATCAAAGGAAGTACGTCAGCGCCAGACTCCGGAAGGCCCCGCCTCTCAAGGCTTTCCGGGGCATCTTGGCTCCCGGCGTGCAGTGCGCCCGCCCGGGACTCCCAGGAGTTTGTGGAAGGGGCCGCCCGGAAGGCGAAAGTGCGGAGGCTTCCGGTCAGCGTGATTCTCAGTGCGGCGTCTGAGTTTCCCGGTGAGTTCTCTGATTTCCCGGTCTAGTGGGGAACGGAACTTGGCGCTCGATCCCGCCGTGGGTAGAGAATCTTGTTTCAAGCCTGCTCCCTCTCTGGGTAAGACTGAGCCCGGCGGAGACGCAGACCTGCTTCAGGGACGAGGGTCTCCCGTGGTTTTGGGGGTGGCCCCCGGGCTTCCCTGTGCTCTGCGTGGTGGAGCCCTCCTTCTTCGGTAGTCTCGCTCAGGTTAACCTGGGCCCTCAAGATTGTTGTTTACCTCAACCCTTCTATCCCTGCCTCTCGAAGTTTTGGGTTGTTGTAGACAGGGGAACAGAGTGAGTTGTGATGGGCGTCCAAAAACTGTAACTCCACTAGTTATCCGTTCAACAAATGCACACTGCATTGGGGCATCCAACGGTGAACAAGGTCTATTTAGTTAGTCCCTGCCTTCGTGGAGCCCACAGTCCACCGGGCATGACAGAAAATAAAGTAAATAACTTCAGATTCCTATTTAAAAGGAAAGAAAAGTGTGATATGGTGGAGAATAAAGGAGGGGAGTCTATAGGGGTGGGGGTCAGAAAGCCCTCTCTGAGGTACTTAAGCGAAGGAGCAAGCGTTAGGAAGATCATTCCCAGGCATAGGAACAGCAAATTGGAAAGATGCTAAAGTGGACGTAGTTTGGACTTTTAAATTTTTCTTTTTTTCCAAAATCATGTCTTAATGTTTTATTTAACTGCTTCATTGTGTATAATAAATTGCACATGTTTAAAGTGTGTAATGTAATTTTTGATATTTGTATACAAACATCCATCAGCTTAATCAAGATAGTGTCATAAATCACTCCAAAAAGCCTTCCTACCAACCCTTTATAATACCTATAATTCCTTCCCATTCCTTCTCACATCCCATACTGTCCCTAGGTTGTCACTGATGGAACTTTTTTCAGATGTAATTGGTACTTGGGGATGGGATGGAGCTTGGAGCATGAGGTGAGACAGTTGAAGGAGGCAGGGCTAGGTCACAAATAATCTTGTAGATCATGAATATGAGATGGGATATCATTGAAGAATTCCATGGAAGAATGAAAAGCTCTAAGTTTTTAAAAGCTTACACTACAGGCACCTGGATGGCTCATTTGGTTAAGCATCCAACTCTTGATTTCAGTTCAGGTCATGATCTCAGGGTTGTGAACATGGAGTCTGTTAAGATTCTGTATCTCCCTCCCTCTCCCCCAACCCCCTGCTGGCACTCTCAGTCTCTCCCTTAAAAAAAAAAAAAAGCTCGTACTAACTGCCATATGGAGTATTCAGGGCTGAGGCTAAGGGGTGAAGAACAGCAGGAGTGGAAATAGACAAGTTTAAAATAGCTACATTGAATTAAGGGGAGGATATTGAGGAAGACAGGTGGCATGTCCTATAGGCTTGGAGGAAATCAAGTGTAAAAACATTTGGGGACATGGGTGGCTCACTCATTTAAGTCAGACTCTTGATCTTAGCTCGGGTCTTGATCTCAGGGTCCTGAGTTCAAGCCCACGTGGAGTCTACTTAAAAAATACAAAAAAAAAAAAACCCAAAAAACACGAAAAAACAAAAGCCAACCATTTTGTAATTTGAAGTTGTTGCATAAATATGAAGTGGTAATGCTCTTTGCATTTGGGGGGAAATTAAATTTCTGCATCTTGTATGGAAACTCCAGGAGCTTTCAGAATTGGCCTTATTGTTTGCCAGAGACCATAGGGAGTTTGATTGGGTACTATTGTTATTTAATGGCTGTATATGCCATGTTGACCTTCACATAATTTGTTCATTGTGCCATCATAAATCATGAACAGAGTGAAGAGTTTTACTTTCCGTTTGTTCATGTTTTGTAGAGATGCCTTTTGACCTGGTTTTCCAAGGATTTGCCTTTTTTTTTTTTAATGGTAAATTTTTGCTTTTGTATATGTATTTCTGTTAGCTTTTCAGGTAAAATATGGCTAAAAGCTTACGGAGTAAGTGGAAAAGGAAGATGCGTGCAGAAAAGAGAAAAAAGAATGCCCCGAAGGAACTCAGCAGACTTAAAAGTATTCTTAAAGTAGATAGTGATGTTTTAATGAAAGATGTTCAAGAGATAGCAACTGTGGTGGTACCCAAACACTGTCAAGAGAAAACTCAATGTGTGGTACAAGATGAAAAAGGTGAGTTTATGTGCATCATTTTAAAAATAATAATTCTATCAATTTCCTTTTGTGACTCTTTTTTTTCCCTCTTTGTCCTCCGATCTTTCCTGCACATGATTCTATGCTAAACTATTTTAAAGCCAGTTCATGTGAGTAGGCATGTTTTGGATTATTCAGAGTGTGCCTTTGGTGCTTATACAAGAGCCTGAGTGTCTCAGAAATACATAGTACAACAGGAGTAGAGAAACGTGGATACAGCCTCGTTGGAAGGGTACACTATTCAGTCAGGGACTAGGCAAGATAGGAGATCTTTCTTCATTTTATCCTTTGCAACATCTAGTTCCCATTCAAAAAATCCTTATATGCCATTACATTATTTTCCTGAGAAGTCAGAGTTTCCCTGTATTCGATTTTGACAGATTCTAGGTACCTCTGTCTTAATCATAGTTTGCAGTTGAGGCTGTGTATATTACTAGTTGCAGCACGGGAAAAGACTCCTTGGGTTTCACATCCTATAACAGTTTGGCAGCAAACTGAAATAAGCGTGCATAATAATCAGGCTCTTAAAATAGAAGTATATTTATGTGGGGTCCAAGGAAGAGAGCAGCGACCCTCAGCCTTCGAATCCGAGAAGTTTTCCCTCTTGCTGATACTCTCTCAAAGGCCAGTTTCTCCATTTGTGTTCTGAATCCTCCATTCTCAAGGGCTGTACTCATGCATCCTGCTTATCAATCTCTTTTCTCCACTGGGTCATTCAAACAGCATAAATGTGTTCTGGAATGTCCCTTCTCAAAAAAAGAAAAAGAAAATTCCTTCCCTTGATCTCACATTTCTCAGTCTGTTGCTTTATTTCAGCTCTCCTTGAAACTTCTTAACACTTGTGTCTCTGTTTCCTCATATGTACACTGCCTCCTCCCATTTGCTCTTTTTTTTTTGGTCATTGAGGTAAAAGTCACATAACATAAAATTAACCATTTTAATGTATACAGGTAGTAGTATTTAGTACATTGATGATGTTGTCCAACTATCACCTCTGTTTCCAAAACATTTTCCTCACCTTAAAGGGAAACTATACACATAAAACAGTCTCTCTCTTCCTTCCTTCCCACAGTCTCTGGCAACCACTAATGGGTTTTCTGTATCTATGGATTTACCTATTCTGGGTATTTCATATAAATGAAATCATAACATGTGACCTTTTGTGTCTGACTTCTTTCATCTACCGTAATGTTTTTGAGGTCCATCCATGTTGGAGCATGTATCAGTACTTCCTTCTTAGGGCTGAGTAATACTCCAGTTGATGTACGTACCACATTTTGTTTATCCATCCTTTGGTGGATGGCTATTTGGGTTGCTTCCACCTTCTGGCTGTTGTCAGTAGTGCTGCTGTGAACATTTGTGTACTTATTCTTGTTTGAATACATGTTTTCAGTTCTTTTGGGTTTGTACTTATGAATGGAATTGGCTAGGTCATTTGATAATTCTGTTCTCTGGTTTTTATATCAGGCATGCCAATTTACATTCTCACCAGCAATGAATGAGGGTTCTTCACATCCTCGCCATACTTGTTTGTTTGTTTCTTTCTCCTTTCTTTTTTTGGGTAATTGCCTCATCCTGCAGGGTGTGAAGTAGTACTTGTGGTTTTGATTTGCATTTCCTCAGTGACTAATGCTGTTGAACATGTTTTCATATGCTTGTTGGCCATTTGTATATCATCTTTGCAGAACTTTTCAAGTCCTTTGCCCATTTTTAAATTGGATTGTTTGTCTTTTTGTTGAGTTCTAGTAGGAGTTCCTTATATATTCTGGTTGTTAGAAGCCTATTCACTTTTGAGTCTTAGATTTATTCTCTAGTTTTCTCTCCTGTTTTCTGTTTTCTCTTTGTTATACTTTCTGATTTTCATAGCTTTATTATGTTATATTGATTTGTTTAGTTTTGCTATTTTTAATTTCTGAAAGTTCTTTTTTTTCTTCTTTCTTTGTTGTAGCCTGAGATTCTTAATGGGTGTATCTTCTCTGATCTCATTAAGGGTATTAATTATAGTTTGAGAAATTTCTATCTACTCTATGCATTGTCTATTCTCTTGAGTTCTTCCCCCAGTGCCCACCTTCCATTCCATTAATTTTTGTCTTTCTCTTTCATGTTGGAGGCTTTCTCCAGTATCTGGTGATCAGTGGTTGTTTATATTTAAAAGTAAAGCACTGAGATGATGAATGGAAGCCTTCCAGGGAGGCTTGCAGAATGATTGGACTGAACCTAGGTGGTTTTGTTGTGGAGGATCTATATCAGAAACTAGATCTCTTCTCTTCTGTCATCATCCTCAGAGAGGAATTCTCTCATCTCCTGCCCATGTCCATGTCTGGCTACCCTCCTTCTTGGAGTTTTTCAGGAACTCAATAGGGATAGAACTAAGGGTGAGGGAGTCTCTCCCATTTAGTAATCTAACCTGTTTTCAATATGGTTGCTCATCTCTGTCCTCAGGTTCGCATTTGCCCTTATTTCGTTTCCTCAATGAGTTTCGTAAGCCACAAACCTAGTAGTTACCTTGATCTCTTTTCCCTTTATCTCCCACCTCTAAACCATTAGCGCATCTTTAATACCTCCAAAATACAGCAGGAATCTGTCCATTTTCCTCCTCCTTTCATGTTTGCACTTTAAGATGACCATTATCCCTTGCCTGAATGAAGATAATAGCTTTTTTACTTCTCTCTCCAGCTCTTGCCCCCTTTCGATTCATTTTTGACATATCAACCAGTATAATATTTTTGGAATGTAAGGCAAGTATGGCATTCCCTTGCTTAAAACATCTCATTGTCTTTCCATGTGCTCATCAGAGCCTACCAGGTCCTACTTAATCTGGTTCTGGTACTTTTTTTAAAAAATCCACTTAACACAGGCTACAGTTTGCTCTGTTATGCTCCCTTGAATAGAACGTCGTAAGCTCCATGACAGCAAGGAGCACATTTGGACCATTGTATCCCTAGAACCTAGAACAGTGCCTAACAATCATTCAACAACTAGTTATTGAATGGCTGATACATAGCAGGCACTATTCTAGGCACTGAGGAAACATGATAAATATAGGAGAAATGGCCTCCATCCTGATGGGATTTACATATCAGAGGAGACTAAAAGTAAACGAGATAAACAAATTAATATAATGTCAGGCAGTAGAGATCATGGAAGACTCTGTATACCCTGGTATGTTCCCAGGGAGGGACATTCTGGGAAACATTCACAGCGGATAAGGTTGGTGATAGATGTACCGCAGCATGGCCGCACTGAACTTCCTGCCAGGTCTTCTGTTCAGTGGAGCTGGATCTCTGGGTGTTGTCTGGGTAAGAAAGAGTGGCAGCCCAGCCTATATCCTTCCTTCCTTTTCTTTCTTTCCTCTCTTTCCTTTCCTTTCTTCGTTTCCTTCCTTCCCTTCTTTTCTTTTCTTTCATTTCGTTTCATTTCGTTTCGTTTTTAAGTAAGCCCTACCCCCAATGTGGGGCTCAGACTCATGACCCCAAGATGAAGAATCACATGCTCTACCGACTGAGCCAGCCAGGCGCCCCTATAGCCAGGTTTTCTTTCTTTTTTTCTTCTTAAAGTTTTTATTTATTTAAGTAATCTGTACACTCAACATGGGGCTTGAACTCAGGATCCTGAGGTCAAGAGTCGCATGCTCCTTCGACTGAGCCGGCCAAGCCCCCCATCCAGGTTTTTCTTTGTCATCTGCCCATCTCTGGCATCACGAGCTTGTTGCTTACTGCTCCACTTCTTCCAAGCACACTTCTTTGGAAGTGGCCAGCCATTCCTAATAGTTCATTTGCTTCTAAGTCCTGTCCATTAAAAGCGTTGTTGCTCTTGGTAGGCTCAGCTGTCTTTTTAGCTCAAGAAAGCACTTAATCTAAGAAATGTTCTCCTAACTCACATGTGCTCACAGCCATACACTTATCCTTCATGCAGGGACTCAAACCCATACATCCTAAATGTACGTTTCCTGTTTAACTTTTACTGTTCCAAAAATGGACACTCATGACGACATTCTTCAGAAGGTTTCTTAGTCACTAAATGACATCTCTCGTTCCTTATAAATACTTTTTATGTCTTTCATGGTTGTAGGAATACATGGGAGCATGTCTGAGTCCATTGAATGTGCTGTGAGGAGTGTTCAGTGTTAGTCAAAGAGCGTTCCACAGAAAAGGATTTTTTTTCTTTTGCAGTTTCAGACCACTTTCAGTTCTCATGTTCTTATTGCATTCACATGCTTTTTCACAAGATCGTTTCTTCATTCATGAGCATGAATAGTTTTCTGTCTTTTATTCAGATGACATGAAAATGGAGACTGAAATTAAGAGAAACAAGAAGAGTCTTCTAGACCAGCATGGACAGTACCCCATATGGATGAACCAGAGACAGAGGAAAAGGCTGAAGGCAAAGCGAGAAAAAGGGAAGGGGAAAAGCAAAGTAAAGGCAGCAAAGGGTCTGGCCTGGTAGACTCCTAAAAACTTGAAAACTCCTACATGGGACAGGCCTTTAGTTAGAATGTGTACATGGATTTCAACTTCCACCAAACGAAAACTTGGTTTCCATATTTCACTTGGCCTTGTTCTTCAATTCAAACCCAACTTAACTCCTCAACTTTGTTTTGGGAGCTTGAATAAAATCTTTGATGAATGAAAGCTACACCGATACTTTAATTGGATGCTTCCCAGTGTGCAGGGATTCTCAGACATTGCAATTCTGTCAAGTGTTACTGTGGTTGTAACTGTTGGGTCTTAGTAAAGATTAAAAAAAAAAAAAGATCTACTGACAAATTTGAGGTGATTCAGGTTTAAAGAAAACTTTTATACAATTTAAAATAGAATGTCAGTGGATCTTATAAGCACTACTTGTTTGGGAGTTTTGATTTTAATTTGGAATAAAAGATATTTTGTTAAGATCTTGAAGAGTTTTTCTTTACTATATCCTTAAGGTTTTCTAGTAGTAGAGAAGACCACCTTCAATTAAATTGTTAAAAAAAAACTTAAGTTTTTTGGTAGAGTATTAACATCTACAAATTAGTATGCTCCATCTGTTTAGTAGATAGATCATCCTGGGAACTAGTTTAACAGTCTTAAGTTTTTATATTATGCAGCCTAATATAACACAGCATTCCCCAGAGTATGTTTCTCAGAAGCAGTTTTTCTGAATGCATGGTGAAAAATATATTTCATAGTCACATCAGTTTGGGAAATGCTACATACTTGGAAGATTCACAGAAAGTATTAGTATAGTATTCTAGAGATCTAACAGTAAAGAAAACTATTCAACTTTGACTCTTTCAAACTAGTGTTCTGAAGAATAGAATATACTCTTGGAAATGCTGGTAAATGAGATGATTTTCGTTAAGTCTGTCTTGCTACAGTTTACTAATTTCACTCTTGTTTAAATTTAGTTAAGGAATTTAAACTTTGTATTCCCTCTGAAATTTCACGGTAGTCCTTTTAACCATCCTTATATGTTCACTGGAAGAACATTTATTGAGTGCCTACTATGTGCTAGGATCTTTTCCAGGTGCTCAGGACACAAAGAAGGAGACTGAGGAGGTTTTGACCTTGTGAGCATCTACTCAAAAGAGGCTGCTAGCTTCAGAGGAAAACCAAGTTAAAAGTGAAGTGGTGGGGGGTGGGAGGGAAGGGGTGGCCGGATGATAGACACTGGGGAAGGCATGTGCTATGGTGAGCACTGAATTGTGCAAGACTGTTGAATCACAGATCTGTACCTCTGAAGCAAATAATACATTATGTTAATAAAAAAAAGAAGAAGATAGTAGGAAGGGAAAAATGAAGGGGGGGGAAATCAGAGGGGGAGACGAACCATGAGAGACTATGGACACAGAAACAAACTGAGGGTTCTAGAGGGGAGGGGGTGGGGGGATGGGTTAGCCTGGTGATGGGTATTAAAGAGGGCACGTTCTGCATGGAGCACTGGGTGTTCTACACAAACAATGAATCGTGGAACACTACATCAAAAACTAATGTTGTAATGTATGGTGATTAACATAATAAAATTTAAAGAAAAAAGTGAAATCTATTAAAGTCACTTGGTCATCAAGACACAGATTTATGCCAGGCATGCGGTAGGCTGTGACACCATATAGAGAGAAATAGGAGGATGTGACCTAAGTCTTTGAGGAGATTTGAATCTATAAAATTTAATGCCAGTAAAACCTTAAAATTATTTTATGTAATAGACTTTTATGTAATAGACTTTTCTCAATTGACTCAGTGATGAGTTCACCAAAAGTTTGGTGGATAATTTTTAAATACTTAAAATAGATTTTCTCAAAAGAAGCTAATAGAAAATGGTTGGAAAAATAAATGTTGTCCATGGCCTTTTTTGCCTTTTGGTATAGTTATGAACAAAAAATATTTTGTGAGGAAAAAGTAAATACATGTGTATCCATGAAATAAAAAAGTTGCTAACATTATAGCCACTGGCAATATCAGCCTAAATATACTAGCTAAGTTATTTACTTGTTATGCCATCATAGGAATTGGCTGCATTAATGATGTTACACACTTGGTGTTTACTTAAAATTTAGCAGTGTTGTCTGGTATTTTGTAGCTGCATTTGCTTTAAGTTGAGATCAGAGGCCAGTGCCAGGGATATGTTCATGTGTTCTGTGGCTGATAACTTCTAATTTGACTCCAGTGGTGGTAGCTTTGCGTTCTCATCCAGGGCCTCTTGATGTGAGGACGTTCACTGGTTTGTCTAGTGATGAAATGTGTCTATTCAGGATTTCACCTAAAATAACAAAACCATTGCTGAAAAAGTTATTTGGGAAACATGCTCTCAGATGTCCTATGGCCTCTCAAAAGGTGGCTCTGAAAGAGAAGTTGTCTTGCACGAGGGTGTGACTGGGGCCTCTAAAGCACCCTGAACTGTACGGCCAGCAAGATTCTTCCCACCTCCAAAGCTTGGCAGAAAATTGGGGCTGACGTTCCAAAATGAGTGCAGGAGTACAATCATTTCTTTGTTGCTTTATTCTTAAAAGTCATACATTAAGTATAGCGTAGTCCTTTCATCTTTTCCATGATTAGCTTATCTTTTTTAAAATTTGGCATTTATTTGACTCATGTGTTCCAGAGAATTGCTGTAAAACCACCAGAGGGAGCTCAAGCTAACCACCAAATCATTTTTGGAATTAAGAGTGGGCTAACTCACAGTAGGAATTGAATATAACATTTCATTTTTGTTTTTTAAGAAATTAAATTTAAAATAAGGGGACTCGAAATTGTTTTCACTTATTTGCTATCTGTTAAATAGGCCTTGGTCTATATTATTTAATCCTAAACTCTCCAAAGTGTTAACTCACTTAATCTCACTGAATCCTCCCAGCAATACATTCTATGTTGGGTTCAATCCATTTTGCAGGCTCAGGATTTATAGACCTTTTCTCAAATTTCAGCCTAACCCTCCCTGGGGCTCCCTAGGTACTCCTGTAGAATGGGCCGACCCAATTCTAAAGGTGTGGCCCGAGTCAGTGGTGCCAGTGCCCCCAATCAGAGTTATGTGAGCTTTAGTCAAAGCTCTAGGGTTGAGTTAAGTAGTGGCTTTGAGCACATCTTTTTTTTTTTTCCCTAGTGTCACACTGATGTAGATATGATTGTTTCTCCCCTAGTTCACATGCTGCCTAGAATAAATATGCAGCGGAACATATTTGCTCATTAGGAAATGTGGGTATTTTCAAAATTTCGATTTCTCTATCTGGGATACGATTTTTGGGAGTTGGAGAATTCAAAATAACTGGCTATAAATGCCTTGGTTTAAATACCTGAAGTGGATTGTTTGTGACTGTGAGGGTTTGGGGTGTATAGGTTAGATCAGGGAAGCGGTGGCCACAACATAAGTGGGAGGAATCCAAAGAGATGTCAAGGAATTCCCAAATTTATAAATACTGCAATTGAGAAGCAGATGTTGGGCTGTTGATGCAGCTTGCTAGCTAACTTCTGATGCCACCTGGCAGAGTGATTGAAATTTGTGCTAGCCACAAGATAGGATCCCTTTTCCTTGAAATGCCACTGCAGTAGACACATACTAATCTTACAAGGGAATGTTGGGTGGGGAGGGGTGTGCGTGGAGAGCTGTTAAGGACTCATGCCAGGTCAAAGCCACTGCTGTTCCTGGGGCCCCGTGAGGCAGCAGGAGAGCCAGGGCCAGATTTGTGTCTACTTACAAAAACCCTGAATTTTATGTAGTTAAATGCCAATGGTCATCACCTATTTTAGAGCAGGAGAAAAATACGTGATGTCAAATTAGACTCATTTGGCAGAATAATAGTAATGATAATAACCAACATTTAGGGAATGTCGTGTTAAACGCTTTACCTATATTATTTAATTTAATCCTTAAAACGATGCTGTGGGATCAATACTCTTATCCCAATTTTCAGAAGAGGAAACAGCTTTGAAGAGGTAAATATACCTGCCCAAAGTTATGCACCTATTAAGATGGGAGCAAGGCTGCCCTAGACTGTGGAATGAATGCCCCTGATGGGAGGCTTCAGAGAGACAGACTTTGATTCAATCTAAGGAAGAAGCTTCTAACCGAAATTGAAAATGGAACAGGCAAACTTCGGGGCACTAGCCTGTCAAACTAATGGGGGACAGCCACTTGGTTGGAACGTAGCAGAATGGATTCAAACGTGGTACTTGGAAATTGGGTTGAAAGCTGCGGAAGTTCTTTTAGCTAAGAAACGCCTTGCAGGAAGTTGTCGTGTCTGAGATGTGTTGTGCTTATTTCACTCTTTATCGTCTATTGGTGCTCCACGATTACAGACTTAAGTTTATCTTTTTGGTGGGAATAACAAAATCTGAAATCTTAAATTTGTTAATGTTAAGTTTGGTATTTATTCCTCTAAGTTACACTTTAAAGTATGGAAAAACTTTTATAAACATCTGCTTTAAACAATGGGGTAAAGTTCACATTTCAATTTCAAGAATGGCATAGTTTTATAATACATTGTTTATAACATACAAAATGTATTTAATTTCCTAAAGTGATGACTTGTCTTGGCATAATGCTATCTTATGAAACACTTTCTCACTCTCACGTTGTGTCTTTATAGTTTTCAATATCGGCAAAACCTTTAAATGGTCTTAGTTGGGTGTTGTGTATCATTGTACAGTAACTGCTAGTACATATGGTATTTCTGATCCATGTAATAGAGTACATTTGTCATGTATCTTGTGATCTGCATACCTTTCAGCTGTTACTTCATAAATCTGTTCCATCAGAGAACTGCTTTGTACAGCAATGGTTAGAAGCTGCTTTTAATAAACTAATATTTTGTGTCTTTTATATGTAATCAACAGGGAGTATTATAGACTTGTGCCTCTTTGTTGAAACATTCCACTAAACTTCTTTTCTTTTGACAATAATGGAAAAAAATAGCTTGGGAAAAGCACAGATGTTCAAGAACATATGTTGTTTGCTCCTAAGTCAGTTGAAGATCTTTTGTATTGCTCCAAGGTTTTTTTGTTTGTTGTTTCTTTTGTTTTTTAATGCTATAGAGAAGAAATAGTTTGAGATATGTGATGGTGGGGTGGGGGGCAGAGTTACAAATTTAAGCGAGAGACCAACATTGGGTGCTATTTGTCAGAATTCTAAAATGCCTCACCTTACGCAAAGAGGCGATATTCTTGAGCAGAGCTGTAGGCAGTTGGCCAAAGATTGGTCATTCCCACATGCTTCCTTCCCTACTCAGCCATAAGCATTCTGCCCTAGTTTTAGTCTTTGTTCTGTCCCAAACTTGAAACTGACAGTGTCTTCACAAAAGCAGAGGTATTTAATAATTCAGGTAATCCCTTGAGTAATTGGATAGGAGCTACTGTCTTTCTTTAGCT